CAAATCCGCCCAGGTCAACTGTAAAATAAAGAAAGGAAATAATAAACATCATACTTAAGGGGCAAAGTAGGTATTTACTAAATTTAAATCAGCCTACTACTCAGGTGCAAATATAAAAACGCATTCTACAATCAAACTCACTACAATGGTCTGTTAATTTTGTTTTCTATTCATTACATCCTGTTTTAGTTGTAAATGTAGATATTCACTAATATTTATCATAAGGCTACAATTGCGACGCATCCGGTGAGGATTGAACTCGTTACTTTTTTGTGAAACTTCCTTCCGGTTACTTGCTTTCCCGCCACCTACAATCTTCAAAAATTGAGATACAGCGTCAATCGCCATTTTCTGTCTCCCTGAACCCTGTTCCTTAATTGTCATTCTCCTCACTTCTCTTCGGCTTATGGGCATAGCACGTTGATCACCGAAGTTAAGCAACGTCGAACCTAGTCAATACCAGTGACCGCCTGGGAATACCAGGTGCTGTAAGCTTGGATGTGCAGGTGGTGTAATGGATAATGGCTCGAGATTGGTAATTGAAGAGCAGAGTTCCAATTCCAGCTGGGTCCGTTGAATTCACTTACGCGCAAATACCACTGGGAAAGTTATATATCCACCTCTTCTCCCCCAGGCTATGGGTTAATTATTAAGACGTGTCTCACTAAAGCATTATTATCTAAAAAAAAAAAAGCTTAGAATTTAAAAATATTTCCTGGCTTTAAATAACCTGCAAAAGGTTGATAAACCATAGAAAATAAATCAATCAATGAAATATTGATTAGCTACATCGGCATGTCTTTTAGATTAAATTACATTCTCTGGAATATAGATGTATAGAAACTAGCCTAGCCATAAAGTGAGGGATAAATTTATATATTGATTGTAATATAGAATTGATCCCCAATTTTATATTCACATGATAATTTCTTGTTTGTTTATCAAATTCAGATATGGTATGAACTCACCTCTTCTGCCTCCTGCTATGGTTTAATTAGTAAGCCGTGTATCAAAAAACCATTATTATCTCAAATAAAATTCTTACAATCTAAAAATATTTCCTGGTTTTAAATAACCTGAAAAGGGTTGATAAACCGTAGAAAATGAATTGATCAATGAATCATTTCTCATCACTAATGTCTTCTCATTCTCTTTCACCCCTGCAACCTTCCTCTACGTCTTAGTGACTGTTATGGTCCAGGTTAGAACCAAGGAAGAACAACACGAACACAAGAGTAGAAATAACGAAGGTATATTACACGAAATAATAATACAAGATGTGGAAGGTGTTAGTATGACTGTCAGTCTGGTTTGGAGTGAACTACTATCGGCTCGACTCGATTCGGTATCTAGATACACCAGGGTTGCATGTGGCACAAGGCAGAGTTTAACGTCGGTTTCCCGAGCCCGTAGGCTCGGCCAAAAATGCCCGTAGAACCCGTATAAACGGGATCGGGTTGGTCAACCTCCCCGAACGAGACTCTGCCCTTCGGCGGAGCCTCGTCCGGGATCCTCTCTGCTCAGAGGCAGAGATTTCGACCGTCAAGCCGAGAAGCTACGCTCGATTCATCCCTCTCTCTTGAGAGGCATAGTATACATAGTGTTAGGAAGAGTTCATTCTGCAGTTACCTATAACTGCAGAATGAACTCCATCACAGTGACATTATCGCCTTCATAGGGTGAAATGATTAAAAAGAAAATGTCTGGATTGACATGACTTCTTGGGAAATATACTTGAGTGGTTATCCGTTGACTCTTTCTTTTTTTTTTTTAATACTTTTTTCTCCCAATGCAAGACTCAAGAACCACTCAAGGTAGAGGGTCACTAAATTAAGTTATTGCCTAGGAATCAGACCAGGCTAACTTCTCGAGATGGAAATATCATGCCTGAGGGAGGAGCCAAGCTCCCTCAACACTCCCTGCCCCCAATTACTGTAGGGTTGCTGTAGGGCAGGTCGATTTTGGAAGCGTAGTATTGCAATCAGTTTGAAAGTTGGGCTTTGACATGATAAATACTGACATAGAATATTTTATTTAAAGCCTTGCCGATCTTTTGAGGAAAGTAGTTTAAATATTAAGTTTAGGTTCAAAATCATAATGTTGGAATTTCATTCCAGTGATCTGTGAAAGCCTTATAGCACAGCCTTATAAAATTCATAATTTACTGAAGTTTTACAAATTGTATGTGGACAAAATGCATGACACAAGCATATCATTACTAAATCATTGTACTATCAAACAAGACCATTTACTTCAAAGAGAAATTCTACTGAATAATTTGATTATATTATGATGTAAAGTGCAGTAGTTTTAGTGTGATTTTTGATAAACAAGACAAATTTAAAACGTCGAAACAAAATGTACAATTTTGTAGTAATTACTTACATGTTCTAATGCAACAGTGTATAATATCTATCTATCTATCTATCTAGCTAGCTATCTATCTATCCCAGTCTGTTCATATCTATCTCAGTTTGTTCATATCTATCTATCTATCTATCTATCTATCTATCTATCAGTTGTTAAGAACCTCACAGGACGACAAATCTGAGACATCCAATTCCCAATGACCATCTATCTATCTATCTATCTATCTATCTATCTATCTAATACGAAAATGCAAAGGTCGGAAATCATTCCGAACACACCAGAGAACTGAAGAAGCAGGGGTCTGGAAATTATTTTAAAAAAAGAGGGAACGAAAATAAAAGGGGTTATTGACCTTACATCTTTTAGCAAGGTTAAAACAATATAGACTAACTCGTGTAAAAATATTGTATCTACTAATCAAGTGTCAACTGTTATCTTAATCCACCTCGCCAGTAACTGTTACAAATCCTACCACAGATCTACGCATGCGCAATGCAACTATTACTTTTTTTTTTTGTTAAACATGAATTTTGTTTTTTTTTTAACAAAGGTCAAACTTCAGTTTATTTTTCGTTGAGGAAGGACACAGGCGTGTCCGGAAATTATGATTCTAAACATTTTTTGCCATCGTCTATTAACCTAATAATAATAATGATAATAATCTTATTTCTTTTTTTTCATCGACATACTATATATATATATATATATATATATATATATATACAAATGTAAAGGAACGAATAGAATATAAATTCAGACGTTCGTAACATTAATTTAAAAGAGAGCTCAATACAAGAGTAGAGCAATAAATAGTTATAAACCATTACATTAGAACATGCAAGTTCCAATGTAACGGTTTATAATATATATATATATATATATATATATATATATATATATATAAAGGGCTTACAAGAGTAAGATAGATAGATAGATAGAAACAAACAAACAAACAAACTGAATATATATATATATATATATATATATATATGTGTGTGTGTGGGGGGTGATTGTATTTTTCGGCAGCAAAATCTCTTTTATACAACAATGGACAAGGTATTGCAGTTAAGCTCTTTTTTATTTAATTTTTCTAACGTTCTTATAATTTTCTTCTTTTCTGGATTTAAATCATGTAGAAATTATCCAAATGTTTGTATGTTCTAGCGTTTTCGGCTATACTTTTAGCCATTATCAAAGACGAATTTTATTTTTTTACTTTTAACTGAATGTATGGATTGTTTTAGGTATGTATCTAGAATTATAGGAATGTTTTATTTTTCAAACACGTTCAGCACATTGTGGCTGTATTCATATATATTATTGAGCGTTGGCTTTTCTTTTTTATTAATAATGTTTCCATTATTTTTCGACTTTTTTTTACATGTGGATGAGGTTATTTGTATTGTCAACGAGTATGTTGCGGATGGTGTTTGGTAGGTCTCCAAGTGTATTTAAATGAGACGTAATTTGGACATTTTTTATATAATTTACGTCCAGAAAAGAAGAAAATTAGAAGAATACTTGAAAAATTAAATAAAAAACTTAACCTCAGTACATTGTCAGTCGTTTTGTAATAAAATTAAAATATATATATATATATATATATATATATATATATATATATATATACTAGATGCTAAAATGATTCCTTTACTCAAACTAAAATATACAATTTTAAAAAATTTCTAACTAGATATATATTTTTTTAAATAACGTGTGTACCTATATCGAGCGTGTGCTTGTATATATGTGTTTACATTAGAGTGTTTATGTATGCCTCTGTGAATTTTACATTTATGATCAGTAGTGCTGACTGATATCTTATTTCCTCAACAGTACTCAAGTGACACTCCTCACCCCAACCCTCCCGTCGACGAATTAATGATTTCTTTGATTTTCGCCGACTTTAGGTCGGGCTAAATTTAATTTGCCCTTTTTCAATTGATACATTGTGCTAAAAACCCTTATACTGTACAAAATAGATTATTTAAAATGGACATTTGAAAAGAAGAAATAAATAAAATAAAAATGTTTTCTTTGAAATAAAAATGTTTTCTTTGAAAAACAGGGCATACAAGTCATTGGAGATTTATAAAGATTATTTATAAAGTTAAAGCAAGAAATACATTGCCTATTAAATGTTTTCAGCTTAGATAGGGCTCAGATCTACGTAAACATGTTAATTTTATTTCATTCTTTTTTTTTTACTTACATTCTTATTTCTTCTTTATTATGAAGAATATCAACAAAATGCATTTTGGTTAATATTTTGAGGCACAGAATTAAAAAAAAAACATTAATTTTGGATCCAGCTGAAGTCAAGAATGAAAACGACGCACTACGAAAGGTTTTTGTTGCTTTGAAATAGATATACTTGAATGTTGACTCATTCGGACTAAGTCCGACAAGCCCGACCGCTGATATATATATATATATATATATATATATATATATATATATATATATATATATATATATATAAAAGATGGGGCTTTGAACATCACGTGTTTGTTACTTACTGAATCACCAACGAAGTAGCCTTCCCCGCCGCAATTCGTTTTCAGAGTTTTCTCCATGTTGTTCAGAAATCTCGGAAGAATTGTTTCTCGAAATGTCCGGGTCAGCTTCGCCTGAAGACAGAAAATTTAGAAAATTTTTTATCGGTTACAGGACTTGTTCTTAATAACATATACGTAAATTGTATACATTTTTAACCTACAGCCAGAAACGTAATTACCCTTCGGATACCATTGATTAATGCGTATTTTTTAAAAAAACTATTAATTATAGTTCTTGACTCACTACGAATTCTAATTAGAAATTAATTTTAATTAATGTATATACCAATTTTAATTTGGAATTATTTTAAGAACATGTAAGATTATTATATATTTTTTTAATTAATGAATAGCAGATTTTAAAGCAGACGTCTTAACTCGGTTTGTTTTGGTTTACGCTATATCAACCTTTTCCAGTATATAGAAATATAGGTTCGTCTATTGTCAGGATCAAACTCTTCACGGGTCTTTTGAAGAGGACTAGAGTTTTATCCTTTGTTTTCTGTTTAGGATTCGGTTCCTTCTAAAGTATTTTCCCTCTCTTTCACTTCCAGTAGACCCCTTGCATCTTAGTGGTATTACTGCCTTGCTGGGGGTGAATTGATTAAAAAAAAATTAAAGCCAAATTCAGTCTTTTTGCAAAACAATAGATAGGTCGACATAGATTCGGTTTTTCCACGAGAATTAAAGACGTAGATATAATTCTGATTTTCGTTCAAGAAGGTAGATGTAAATCAGGATTGCGCGACAGGTAAAAAAGTAAACATAGGTGTGGTTTGCATTCGAGTCAAAAAGGTACATATAGTTAAAGTTTACACGAGAAGTAAAAATGTAGGCATAAGTCTTTTTTTATTTATATCAAAATGGTAGATATAGATACTGCCTCCATGAGACTCAAAATAGACATTTGTACGGCACAGAGGTAGCATTTTTTATATACGTTAACCCTTCATATGAGAATGCAGTCAACGTATTCCTGATCCAAACAGAGTGACATCTTCGGAGATTCGAGATTTATTGCGTAAACATACAGCAATTGTGGCAAGTGGGGGTATGTGTTGAGGCTGGTCGACACTATCTTATACCTAGCTAATTCGATTCACGACCCATTCATTCGCTATAATTTACACAACCACCACCAAAACTCGTCGATCATCATTCACTCCAACATATACCACAATATCGCTTAAACATAGGGAAGAAATCTTCGGGGTTTCAGTCATTTTCAATAATAAATCTGCGCGCACGAGGACCGTCCGATTTCGCGCAGGCCGTCCGCGGTCGTCTACGCGGCCGTCTGTCGCGTAGCGGTGGTAAGCGGTCAAGTCGAAAAGTGCAAGAACTGAGTGGCGACTCTCTGCGTGCAATCCGACTCTCCTCGTGGGCGCGGGGTCGGACTCTGCGTGTGGCGGTCGTCTACGCGGCTGTCTGTCGCGTAGCGGGGGTAAGCGGTCAAGCCGAAAAGTCCAAGAACTGAGTGGCGACTCTCTGCGCGCAATCCGACTCTCCTCGTGGGCGCGGGGTCGGACTATGCGTGTCCAAGAACTGCGTGGTGATTCTCTTGACTTAAGTCGTCTACGCGGCTGTCTGTCGCGTAGCGGTGGTAAGCGGTCAAGCCGAAAAGTCCAAAACTGGAAAGGCGACTTGCTCTGCGCGCAATCCGAACAATTAAACTCCTCGTGGGCGCAATTTTTTTTTTGGGTCGGACTCTGCGTGTGGCTGTTTTCATTCGTCAGATCTCCTTTAAAATACTGTTCACTCATAATTTTTACATAAAATAGGAGTTTATTTTTATTTAAAATTCGACATCACCCTGTAGATAGGAATATTACTTCACCAAGGAACTCTTGCTGGTAGACTCGAAAACTTATTGGTTAAGAACATTTGTACGGAAAAGAGCCTTTAATCAACCCCAAAGCCATTTTCATGGCTACGTTAACTCTCTATATTAGAATGCAGTCAGCTATTTTTTAGAATCCAAACAGAGCGACGACATCTTCGGAGACTCTGTCATTTTCAATAATAAAACGTTCCCATGAGTCAAAATCACAACACTGGATTAAGAATTAGATACAAATTTTTTTAAAGCATTTCACCCCTAGTAAGGCGAGAAGCCACTAGCACGCAGGGGGTTGCAGAAGATTTGGAGCGAGAGCAATTATGAATGATAGAGGAGAGGATGAGGAGAAGGATAGTGGATAGAAGGCAAGATGTCGATTGACATTACATTTGAATAGTTGGAGTGGGATGCCCATACGTCTGACCTCATTGCTTCCTGCAACTCGATTGAACGATGAAATGCCGAGCGCGGCTATCCATCTGTTATTTCACACGCACACGTGATATCACACTTCAGCGCCTCCCTATTGTTTTTAGCGCGTAATTTCAAAATTGCTTTTACTTTCTGATTTATTCCCGTATGTTTTTTTTCTATTATTAAACTTTTCCCAATAGCTAGTTTTCGAAAAAGGTTTTGAGTTCAATATCATGCCTTAATTTTAATGAAGGTAAGTATACAGGATGTCCACAAAAGTTGACATCATTTAAATACATGTTCCAGACAAACAAAATTAAATCGGATTCATGTTGAACAACAAAATATTTATTTATCAGAAATTGAAACAAGATATACAAAGGAGTGTAGATTTGATAACCGATTGCGCAAACCTTGACAAATGTTCAATATATGCATCACCAGTGACGCGACACACGTCAAGTCGGTAGTCCAGCTCCTACCAAACACGCTGTAACATGTCTTGCGTAACATACTCCATCGCCTCAGCCCTTCTATGCTTAAGTTCCTCTAGGCTTGACGAAAGAGGGGGATACAGACCTGTCCTTTCACATAGTCCCATAGAAAAAAATTCACAAGTTGTCCATGTCAGGTGAACGTGCTGGCTATTACAACAACGCATTGTCATTATCACTGACACGCCCAAACCAGCCATCTTTCTGGTAGATTCTCATTGAGATATGTCCGCATTGAGGCGCTGGAGAATGTTACGCAATACTTCCTCCTTATAATTGGAATACGGAGAAGACGTGGCTGATCCGACTCCGTGGACGGGGCATGATTGATCCGAGCTATGAAAGCTGATCTGGTGGAACTAAGGAATAGAGCTTATCTGAATATTTGCCACGGAAATAGCAAAAGAATGAGAAAAATGTCACTCCCTGCAAGGCCACGTAAAGGATTTTGAATTCTATCAAAGCTGGAATGTGAACATTGAACAGGTATAGCAGTAATAATCTATTTAGGGACTGATCTGATTCTTATAAAGATAAAACACGGTAGATACTTCTTGGGACACTAGAATAAACTGACTATATTAATCGTAACAGCAATCCATTAATGTAAGTTTTTTTCTTTTTTTTTTTTTAAATCAAATTCACCCCAAGAAAGATAGTAAAGCCACTAAGACAAAAGGGGTTACTGACTGTGGAAGAATAAAATAAAACAAACAAACAACAACAACAAAAAAAAAAAAACAAGAAACATTATTAAGGAGCACGAGTACAAAAGAAGAGTAATAAAGACAGTGGATAGCGATTGGCACTGCATTTATACTTTTGAAGATTAAAACTGATTAGAAAGCATGGGTCCGGTAGGAAATTCACCAAGCAAGAAGTGCGAGAAAAGAAACTGTTAGCATATAACTTACGGTTACATCTAGCCAACCCAACTGTATATCGTTGAGACATCGTCGCCAGTCTGGTACCGAGCTTAAATTCATAAAAGTCTAGGTACCATAGTGAATAGCATATCCGAACAATTACCATGAAAGTATTTATAGAATAGTCACAGGGTGGCAATTTTACGGCGATGGGAGAGTGACTCAAGTCTAGATACCAGATCAGGACCAATAATATTGCTGATTCTTCTATGGATTTTATCAAGAATCATTAAATATATTACAGGCAGTATACTGTGGCAGTAATATTCTAAGAATGAACGAATGGTAGACATATAGATATGTAGATAGATTCTGGAGAAAAAATTGTCTAGCATGGCACAGTGAACCAACTTTCTCAGCAGCAGACCTAGCAATAGATTCAGTATAATTTTTCCACTTTATGTCAGTGGAAAACGTTAATCCGAGAAGGCGTAACCGGTCACTCTTCTAGAGGTTAGCATCAGTCATGTTAATGGAGTCAGTTATGTGCCCTGCGTGATACACACTTAAGCGATCAGGTATCTTTCGTTACATGACTGACAAGGCAGATTTTTTTTTCCTACAGTAGGTTGCCATTTCTTTCTACGGTAAACCAGTTGCCATCCAACGTTATAGAAATTATTTACCCATAGCTGGGGGGGGGAGAAGAAGAGGATTTATACCTTTCCCAAGGGTATTAGCACGTAAGTGAATGTAATGGATTCGAGTGGAATTCGAACTCGGCTCTCCGATTCCTCAATCCGAGCCGCTATCTATTACTCCACCGTGCCATTAATCATTTCTACCCATGGAAGGTAGAAATGATTAATAGAGTGCAGTAGTTTTGAAAGCGTTAAAATTAACAAGCCATCCATGGCACCAGTTGACATCAGACTGAAGGTCGTTTTTGACCTTGTCGGACTGACCAGCTTTGCCATCGAGTCAGGAGTAAATGTTTGTGTCATCAGCATAGATACCAAGTTGAGAACTGATGTCATCAGGAAGGTCATTGATGGAAATTAAAATCAATGTAGGATTTACGATAAAACTTTGGGGGTCATCTGCATTAGTACAAAAGGATCTGGAAGAGTGGCCGTTCAGGATGAAATTCATTTGATGATTTGACAAGAAAGACTGGATCAGTTGAAAGGGTTCTTTAGTTTCCAGAGATTATTTTAACACAATGAAAATATACAACCAGATTTCAGAAAAATGAATAATTCCTTTTTAGCTATGAATATCAGATTTAAAGAATAAGCCTCGAGTGAAATTCGTTGTCGCATCTGTTTTCTTCGGGAAGCCTGCTTTGTATATGCAATTTATGGTCAAAACCACCTATTCATGATGTATATATAAGCCGAGTGACTAGTTTGCGTGTATTGACTGCATTTAACTATACGCTCCATTAATTTTATCATT